GAAGGTTAAGGAGGGGCGATCTCATCCAGGCTTTCAAGATAATTAAAGGAATAGATAATGTCGAGTGTGGTAGGTTTTTCCAGTTTGATGACAGCAAGAGAACGAGAGGTAACCGACTTAAGTTGCGCAAACCGCAGGTGCGGCTCAGGTCGAGACAGGAATTCTTTACTTGCAGAGTGGTGAACGCGTGGAATGCGTTAGATGACGAAGTAGTGGCTGCCCCTTCTGTGACTATCTTTAAGAAGAAACTAGATGCTTTCATGGACAGGCAAAAAGGTGGGGGGCAATGTTGACGTAGGTACTAGACAGTAAGCAACTAGGATAGTAAAGAAAAAAAAAACAAACAAACAAACAAGACAAAAATACAAAAATATATAGCTTTAAGAGGGTTAGGCCTACCCTAAAATTAAGGAACGCTCGACCTCGACACGTGATATCGAAATGGGCGAAATCGCCTCTTGATATCACTAACTCTCCTGACTCCTGACATGAGCAACAATCTTAAGTAAACTAAGCAAACAGGAACATGAAGAGCCCAAGGGCTTTGTCCAAGAATAAATGTAGGAGCATGTTAATGGTTTTGAGTTTTTCCTTGAGGGCAAAGAAAAAATGACATTCAAATTGCTTTCAATAGTGTTCAGTCGTAAATGCGAGGCCAATGCTTTGAGTAACAACTCAATCTTCTTCTTTCACACTCTCCAGACAGTCTTTTTATACTCTGTATAATTTCTTGCTTGTCAGGTTAGAATAAGAACATCTTACTCACGTATTTGGTTGGAACTTTTCTCTCATTTAAATGGTACTGGCTTGTGAGCGAAAAAAGTACCATAGATGTATAAATTTGTACTACATATAAAAATCCTCTACATTGCCTATTGTGAGTATAGCAAATGCAAACATGGATAAAGTTACACCATTCTCTGCTCTCAAATTGTAAAAATCCAATCACCCAATAGGTTGACATAGCTTCATAAAGGGGAACCTTGTTAATCCTTTCCTTGGCAAGAATATACAAACATTTCTAAAATTTCCAAGTAGTATTATGTTGATGCCAGGGAGAGTATTATTAATGAAATAAGTCATCTCTGATTTCCATGAATAATCTGTATTTTAAAAAGTTAACTAATTTTGGTGAGTAAATGGTAAAGGAATAAAAAATTAATGCTCAACTCAGAGAATATCTCATGTGATTGCACATGTTGCAGATCCAAAGGAGGACAAGGTAATAGTCCTGGATGGGAAGCAGGTGATGGTGCCACAGGGAAAGCCAGTCAAGAATCCTAAGGCCAAGAATACTTCATTTTATTTCAGTGAATATCTTGTATATCAAGAAAGTCAAGTTCGACTTCGCTACCTCATCAAATTCGACTGGAGCAACTGATTCACAATACCCAGTCAAAGATCAAAGATGATTCGTAGCTGAACTGTAAATACTTGCATTGAGTTTTCAGCAATTTCCTCCACCATTTGACAGTTTCTTTGCATGTCAGTGATCACTATGCAGCTGCAAATTTGGACTTTTAATGTGAGTGTTTTGCTCTGAAGTGCTGGATGCCATTGACTTGGTAGCTCCTTGTATACTTCATAAGCAACTGACTGGCACTGGTCTTTTCAGTTGCAAAAACTCTGAAACATGAAATATAATACTTCCTAATCAGTGGAATTTTCATAGGTTCATTTTCTCTAGCTAAAAATAGCAAACACAATAAATGTAGGGCTACTCCAACAAAGGTGTTATAATTAGGGCTGTCAATTGATTTAAAATTTAATTGATTAATCACATTTTAATCAATCCCTTAGTTCCTCCCTGATTCATGTCCAAGGTGTTGGGAATGATTCAGCTTGCGTCACACCCAACACATAGGCAAGCCTCAGGAAGTGACTCAAGGCAATTCAGTTGCTAACATAACAGCTACTATCCATACATACACTAGTTCATCCTACAAGTGACACATTCCAGTCAGAAAGAAAATAGCTGCTACTTAACCAGATAAATAAATAGTCAGCAAAGAAGCGCACTGAGGCCCTTTGCCATTTAGCCAACCCATAGCAGAAGGATGCAAAAAATGTAACCTAAATGATTGGACATATGCAATGACACTCCATTATGTGGAGACTTAAAGATTCATTAACGACTTATGGGCAACACAAGATGGAAACACAAAAAAGGAATAGAAGAGGGTTTCACACTTTCGTTTCCATTTCTCTCACCTGCTTTCCCCCTCTCTCAGTTACTTTCTGGGGGCTCCCATAGATGTTCGCCAGTGCACTTACATGTACGTTTCTCACTCCCCAATCTTTACATAATCCTCTTTCCTGCCTCTTCTGTCCCATGCCCTTGCCCAACTCCCCTCTTCCTTCTGTGCTTTCCCATACAGCTTCTTCATTACATTTTTCTTTTCCCCATTTTCATCCAGTGACTTTTCAGTTGTTCTGCCATAGGCAGCTATTACCTTAGCCTGACACATGAGGCATGAAAGGCTATGCCTTTAAAGGCTGTAGGCTAGGTAGGACACAGGATGCATACCAGTGCACTTGTGGATGCAAAGGGGTCAGGAAAATTTTTTTTTAGAACAGTCTGAAAGGAATGGCTTTGTTTTTGTGTGTTCCCTTTTTCCAGAAATAGTATGTTGTTTTGAGGAAGAGAGAGCAGTACGAAAACAACTACCTTCTTCTAAAAGCCATCATTACACTTCATTCCCTTAATAAAACATTCATATTCAGTTGTTTTGCAAAATTATGAACTCCACACTAAAATTATGAAGGGAAAAAGAGGCATTCAGGGGAGATTAGGGGGTTGATTAAAATCAGATTATTTTTTACTAATTTTTAAAATCGTGATTAATACTTTAATCGCTTAATCTAATCAAACTGACAGACTTAGTTATAATACTTATCTTCCTCTGATTTTGGGAGGATATGGGGTAAGATGTGGCAATTACACTTTGTCACATTGGAACCACAACCAGGAAAGGATAGTTACAGGATGAGAATATAGTCATTGTATTTCTCATGCATCAATATGTGGACCTCACCTCATCTTCAAGTTGCTGCTCACATATATATTCTTATTAACCATTTCCCTGTTATGGAAAAACATTTCCACTATCAGGGGGGAAGATGAATATTTACTTTTTCTACTTTTTCATTGTCTGGTAGGTATAACACAAGGGTATAACAATAACATTCCAAGTTCATAAAAACTTGGAATGTTTACAGAAAACAATGATTTATGTTTAAAATGCCATATTATGAAAACTATTGAAGATATGAAGAATAGTCAGAGCCCAAGAACATACTCAGGCTACCACCACACAATCCTGAATATGTACTTGAGCATGGTGGCTTGTGATGTTCAGTGGTAGTGTATTCTTAATGGAGGTAGGGTAGGCCTGGGCCTACCCTGCCTCCATTGACAATTCACTACTGTTGAATATCATGAGCTGCCACTAACTTGAGCAAACAGCAAAAGGAGTAACACATATGCCGGCAAAGTCAACTATGGTCAACTTACAAAATTTGGGCTAAGAATGCCATCATTGACTAAGGTCAATTTGATATTTTATGCACATGTAACCCCGCAAAATGCCCAGAGATAGTGCAAAAGGTTATACTGTAGGCATCCAGGGTTCGTCTCAGACAGTATTTGACATTGAAAATAGTGATTTGCATTTTCCCACCTCTCCAGTTGCCCACAATCCCACACTTTGTTTACCAGCCCTGCAGATGACCCACAAGTTGCAGCCATGCACTGGAAATATATGAGGGGAACAAATCGAGTAATAACTTTTAAATGATATAGATGCTAATATTGATTTTGAAGCAGAATATGACATGGATTCCTCATTTGATTAGGGTAGAGAAGTTAAAGGTGGTGCAGGTATATCCCATCAGAATAAAAGGTTAAAACACCTTCTAGGCATTCCCAAGTGAATGCATCAGAAGAAAAGTAAAATCTGCTTTTTGAGCAATCTGTGAGGAATGTCATTGTATGCAAATGACTTTTTATTAAGCATCACTAGCAACTTTCTTTTTTTTGTGTGCCTAAAAGCAGCAAAGAAAAAAAAAGTTTTGTACCTCTATGTGAGTGTCTCTTTGGCACTCAATCTTGGCCATTTTTTTAAATCATGGATCCTTCTCTCCCTAAAAATGGCTTGAGGTTCAAAAAATTGTCTGGCTGCCCATGAGGCAGAAATTATCAAAGAATACAAATACCATACAACTCTGACCATAACCAAATGGATTCCTGTATGCAAAGTCAGCTGGAAGCAAGTGTCCATAAATAAAATCCAGCAACCAGAATCAGTTAGGGTTAGTCCCAAAAGAGTAGTGAAACCATGTCCTTCCAATGAGATCTACCAGCAGACTCAAAGAGTCCAGGTTGCCATCAAGAAAAATGGGGACACATTGAACATATTTTGTGAATAGTTACTGTTAGCCCTTGTGTCTTGCTGAGATTCAATTCATTCCACGAGAAGTTATTAGTACAGAAAATACAAGACTTCGATTTGGTGTGAATATTTATGTCCCACCCAGTAAAGTCTACCAAGAATTATTGAGGATTGCAGATTTTTAGCTCTAATAGAATTGTTCATGTAATTTTCCCATAAAATGTTGCATTCTATTTCACCGACCTGGAAAAGCTTGCAATCTAGCAACAACCTCACTTTTGAGGTCCAGCAGTGAGTGTTAAGCATAGAAATGTCAACAACCAAAAGGTCAAGGGACTGACTCACTCAATATAAGGGAGGATTTCATCCAAGATCCACTTATCCCTGAGCTTGAAGAGAGTCTTGAAGGCATCAACAATGTTGCCAGGAAGACGAGAAACAGGAAACAGCCTCACAACAGCTGGAGAGCTGCACTCATCCACCAGGGCCAGTCCTCGCAGCTGGTTCAATGATGTCTTCAGCCCTGGACACATTCAGACAGAATAAGCATGATTATACAACAAGAATGGGACATTATGGACTAATTTAAACAATTTTGATTCTTTGTGATTCTGAGTAGGGATATAAAAGAATAAATATTTTAGGATTTTTCAGATTCTGGAAAGAAGATATGGTCACTTATATACACAGGGTGTCTCAAAAAAATGTATACACACTCAAATCAAGAGTAAATATTAAATAATTCAGAGAGGGACAATGTTTAATGTGACATGTACAGTACGTAACAGATGACAATGTGTAATGGAATGATCGCCTGTCATCAGGCAATTTTTCCCCACGAGGCAGTGTATTACGCAAGATGATGCAAGCTCACTTGACCTTAGAGCAATGTAAGTTGATTTTGAAGTGATTCTGGAAATCTGAGAACACATGTGAAGTGCAAAGAAGGTAGAGAAATGAACTTGGAACTATGCAACCAACATGACTAAAACTTTCAAGACTTCATGATAAGTTTGATGCTGATGGTACAGTGCATGGTCTCCCAGAACATTGTTAGTACAGTAATGCACAAACAATGTTCTGATAGACCTCACACATCAAAAGGTGGGGAAAACGCTGCTGTTGTGATGCCAGCATTCACACAATCACATGAAATTAAGGAGTCCTGTGCTGCTATCCCAGCAGAAACCTGTTCACAAGTTTGTTGCACTGTTGCTCACTGCTGTCAACAATGCCTGGATGCTAATGGTAAACAATTTGAACATCTGTGGTAGTGAACCGTGCAATTCAAACCCTTGCTTCTCCATTGTACCTCTCTGAATTACTTAACATATATTTTTTATATTAAAGTGTGTATACATTTTTTTGAGACACCCTGTATTTTGCTGATTATGAGCATGTTGCAAAATAAAGGTGCTTCTATTGAAGAGTTTACAGAAAATTTCAAGAGTCAAAGGGAAGAAAAGAACACTGAGCAGAGAATTCCATAAATTATCCAGCTCTACGAAGAAAAGGCTTTTTCTAAGATTCCTGCATCAACTGAATGAAATGCATGAGAAATGATTGGTAGATACCAATACCAAAATCCTATGTGAGTATGTCTTGAGAGAAGGAAGACCAGTAAGCTCAATGATGGTAGGAAGTAAAAAAATAAAAATAAAAGATGAATAAAAGCAGACACAAAAGTACATTTGCAGTGAAGCTGGTGTGGATGGATGTCAAATGTGTTCTGGGTTAATAATGCTGAAAACCCTGAGTAAGCGCAGCTGAACTGGAATATTAAAGTTTTTTTTACATTTTTGTAGAATTTTTCACATTTGAAAGGGCAAGTAAACTGCCCCAACCAAGGTGCATAGATAGAGTAAAAGAAGTTATTTGGTGCCAAAATTGTCCGAAACTACCCAAGGGCAACAGAAAATGCCCAACTTTTGGACCCAGAAGCACAGAACAGAGATCAGAGTCTGAACTATTAGAAATAGCCAGCAGGTGTGGGGTAAGGCTTAAGGAAGTTAAAAAGAGAAGGGAAAGCGAAGGATCCTATCCTAGGAATTTGTTAGGCAGCCTACATCTTCAGGGGGTTGAGGCCACAAGCCTGATTCACAAATCCTATCCAGATAGTTTCTGCCATCAGGAGCTAAGGCTGTAGACATAAATAGTAGAGGAAGTACTTAATGCCCCTGAAGCAATCCCAGCTTGAGTCCATCTGCCAGTGCCACAATTAAACGCTCTATTAGCTTGACTAGTCTCATAACTGAAATGCATGGTAGACACAAGCCCCAAGACACAAGAAGGAAAAGTAAAAGGGGGGGGAGGGCTAGGCATGAAACAAGCCTATCGAAGATGAAGTATAGCCTGGAGAAAGGCCCTACCATGCATTCAGCATTGCATCCTGCACTTTACATCTACAGATATAGCACCTGACCGCAGAAACTCTCTGGATAGGGTTTGTGAGTCAGACTTGTGGCCTCAACCCCCTGAAAAAGTAGACTGCCTGACAAATTCCTACCACCATCATTCCAATCATCATAGGCACAACTGGCGTCAACCTGAAAGACCTCAAGGGACATGTCAGGAAGCTGGAGTGTGAAATCTCACTCAACATCCTCCAGCATACAAACTTGGGCATGGCCAGCATCCTCCGCTGTGTCCTTCAGAATTCGGTAAGTATGAGGTCTGGGATGTGGTTCATTCCCCCTCATACCTCCAATACCAGCAATTGCCGTGGAAGGATTTATATATATATATATATATATATATATAATAATAAGATGGACAATCACTGATAGAAGGGCTAGCCCTTGAACAGCCATGGCTCAGCACCCACGCGAGTACCTCGACAGGAAAATCGAGACTAATGTGAAAAGCCAGGCAGAAAAGGGGGTCCAGGCGGAAGAAGGCTATAAAGGAAAAGAAAGCGAAGCTCTAGGCTAGATTTTTGACGCTTTTCGACCGGCTTCGTCAGGGGGTGCACGGCCGGCCTAGAGCATCAACAGCTGTTATAACCTGTTTCTGCGGTCATCCTAGCGTGCCAGGAGTATTAGATAGAACTTGGAAGTACTACCCATTCCAAGGACAAACCCAGCTGAAGTCCTTCTGCACATGCCATCGTCTGTTAATGNGACTTCCCATAGATTCCGGAGGTGCACTCTGTTAAGGGCATGGATGGTCTCAAAACGCTGCTTCGATTGGAGGTGTGGAGATAATAGGACACGGCGACGTCGATAGTCCCGTTACTCAGGTATCCCACGTAACCATTGCAGCTGTTGTTTCCGATGCTGCATTCTCCTGCGGCTCCTCTTACTCGCTTCCAATCGCAGGTGAAGTTCAAATGCGCCTCTAAAGAATCCCAGATTTTCTTCAAGAACTCCATCCTGAATATCTTTGGCAGAGCATCCTCCGAAGCGATGCATCTCACATGGATTCCCTTCAGATCGCCACGCCGAAGATGAACGTCTCGATTCTTCAGCAGCGTCCATTCGCTTCCCGCGTATTCCGCTATCTCATCCGCGAACCATTCGTCGAACATTCCCAGACTGTAATATTCGATTAAATGAGTACCGTTGCTTGAGGAAGCCAGTTCGTAGATTTCAGCTCCGGTTCCAGGATCCCTTTGTCCGAGGGAAAACTTTTCAATTCCCGCAAAAATCCAAATTCCTTGAGACAGCCTTTCATTCATTTCATCGTTGGAAAGGTTGAAGGCGGATGCGGGGTGAAGGAAGAGATATACTGGTTGCAAGGCGGCCTTCACCGTCTGTCCGGTTGAGAATAGTTGAAAGCCCCCAATTAAAAATTTATTTCGACAGGAGTCTGGGAGTTGATGCCCGACACCTTCGTAATTCAGTACGAATGAACATTCAATTAAATCCTTCCTAATTTTCTCTGTCCTGGCAAATGAGTCAGTTTACTTACCCGGAGGAACGACCAGCACAGGAGTGCTCCAATGCATCATGGCCACAATGGAATTCACAAGGTCACACATCTCCCCGTCTTCGGATTCATCTACTTTTCCTGCCACATCTTGGCTCCAATGTGAGCTTATCACTGAAACCAATTGCAATACCCTACACGTCATCACACCCAATGGAAACAATGAAAAGGTACGCCTGCAATCTCACCGATGAAGAAAGCGAATCGAAAGATGCACATCATGCTGGTGCTCTTCACGCGGGGACTTTCTACAATAACCCCCACCCCCAACCGATGTCCCATTTCTTGTCATTCCAGGTCAGTCGTATTGGATTCTTCTTTCACTCGCATGCGTCAGACGGAACGCGTCCGATGACTGAATACTTCATATTTGTTTCAACGCCCTGTCATCGTACTGGCACTCAATCAAACGGGAAGAGCATGACCATAAGTGGGTGAAAGGCCTGAAGAGACCACGAATAATTCACCCATCCACTCCCGCCGCGAGACAAGTCGCACTCGAGACATCCACGTTCGTCTATCGTATGGTCGATAGAAGGCTAGCGATTCTGATGCGCTTTACTCGCTCTCGGTTCTCCCCTACTATCCTGAGGATGACAGGAATTTAGTGTTATTGTGGCTTACGGCGATGCTGGAAAATTAGAATTTATTGTAGATAATGCCTGTGACCCGCTTGCAGCAATGCTATTCGGGAGTGGTCCTTCATTTAGAGGGGGATGCCTTAGCTCGGCGAAGAGATGATATGGAGGGGTGAAAGGAATGAACCTTCCAGGACTGGGTACATGACTCAAAGGGTGAAAGGTTTGAACCTTTCATGCATAAGCCTATGACTCGCGTGTACTTGGAGCCAGGTGGATGTCCTGCTTCCCGGAGGGAGTATAAATGGCGTACTGCCACTTCCTTTTCCCTTCCCCTTATGCCGGACTCCTCCAGCTGTACACAACGGATGAACAATGAGAGACTTTGATGGGCCCAGTTCACTGCCATATGTCACCAATCTTTTCTTACGATAGAATGGTGATATGTAGAAGTGAAATACAAAGCCAGAGACTCAGAGGAAGAGAATTGGAATAGTCCCAGTGAGCATTATTATTGACATCTCGTGCGTGCTATCATGAGGTTCTTCCAAGCCTGCTTCCTGGGTGAGACGTTTCCTCTGACTGTATTTTACTTTACTGTATCGCATTTCGAGACGGATCACGATTTTGTGGTGAGCATGGAATGCATGCCTTTTGGGACTTTCCTGTCATTGGAGGCAGGATGCGATGGGGAACGAGTGCGGAGTCAAGGGGATAAGCCTTGCCAAGTTTGGGGAGCAATGTCAGATCATTTATTCCTTGGTAAACGTCAAGAAATGAAGCGTCTTGCTGACTCATCCAAGTGAGTAAATTTGTCCCTTGGTAGGACTGACGATAACCCTGCGAAAATGCTTATGATTTTTCTACTTTTCCACAGCTTAAAAGGGCTAGTGGAGAACTTCCCAGACTCGTGCAAAGCACAATTTTTCTTGATGGCAACAAAATACTTCAAAGAGATGAAGGAAAAACTTCCTTCGAACGAGTCCATCTCTCCTTTCATCCCACATATGCCGGCAATCCTTCAAATGAAGACATGGGTCCGATTCTCTCTCGAGACATTTCACTTTCCACTAGAGTTCATCGTTCTTCCATCAGCAAGATTACTCACACGACCAGGCCCGAAAATTACGAAATTCCTTTCTCATACCTAGAGGGAAGGGGGGGCTACAGTTCCCTCCCTTCCAACTCCTACCCCTTACGAAAATGATTTATAGGATTCCTATATATTCCTTTAGGAATATATAGGAATCCTATAGGAATCCTATAGGAATCCTATAGGAATCCTATAGGATCCTATATGACCAATAAAGTTCAGTTTGGGACCAAAAGGGTTCCCCATAAGGCCTATAGGTTACCTATAGGAACCAAACGGTTCTGTATTGGACCCGTAGGGTTCCCTATAAAACCAATATGGTTCCCTATATGATCTGTAGGGTTCGCAATAGGACCTATAGGATTCTCTATAGGACCTATAGGGCCTATAGGGTTCCGTTCGTGCGAGACACCACACACATGCTGCAAATTCTGGATGAACTTCCTTCCCTGCCTCCTACTGCAGTTTTGGTCACAGCAGACGTCACTGCTCTTTACACAAACATCCCGAAATGTGAAGGTCTGACTGCTGCCAAAGCTTTTCTTCAACGAAACCAATTTGCAGAGGAGGATACTGATGTTCTTTTGAAACTCATGGATTTCGTTCTAACCCACAATAATTTTGTTTTCGATGGTCAACACTTCCTTCAAATTCATGGGACTGCCATGGGTACGCGCATGGCTCCTTCTTTTGCTATTTTGTTCATGGCTGACCTTGAGGGACGGCTGCTCTCTTCAAGTCCTCAGACACCATTGATCTATCGTCGCTATATTGACGACATTTTTATGATATGGACCGCTGGAGAAATGAAGTCATGCCTTGCATGACTTCATTCAACATGTCAATCACTTTCATGAATCTATCAAATTTACTTTTAACGCTTCACCTCGGTGCGTTTCTTTTCTCGATCTCTTGATTTCCTTGGATGGTGACCATGTCTCCACGACGCTTCACAAGAAACCTACCGACACTGGTGCCTACCTTCACTTCCAAAGTTTCCACCCTAAACACGTCAAAACGTCTCTTCCCTTCGCCCAGGCTCTTTGCCTGAAACGCATTTGCAAGTCCCCTACAGAGTATCGGAAACATCTGTCTGATCTCTCTCTTGTTCTCCAACGAGGATATCCTCTTGCTTCTCTTCAAGCCGCTTTTCACAGGGCGAACCGGAAGCAGAGGAAAGATATTCTTCGATCCAATGAAAGAAACCCTAATCTGGAACGCGTTCCGCTTGTGATGACATACCACCCTTCCTTATCAAAAATAGAAAGTGTCATCAAGCGGAATTTCCACATATTACAGGCAGACGCTAATTCACGCCTCATTTTTTCCGAACCACCTGTCATAGCCTATCGTCAGCCTCCCAACCTTGGACGAGAACTTGTCCGTTCTACCATCAATCCTGGCACGCGACCATGGAGGAGGGGAGCGCCATGTGGCGGCAGACGTTGCGCCATTTGTCAACACTTTGCCTTCTCCTCGGGACAATTCCATTGCAACTCCTCAAATGTTGTTTACTCCCTCAAGTGCAAAAGATGCAACATGGAGTACATTGGTGAAACAGGAACATCATTCAGACTGAGGTTTAACAACCACAAGGCAAGCATCA